TTGTCTTATTCCTATAACATACTAAACGTAAGTAAATTTTGCATTGAATTACAGTTTGAAGCAACCGCAGTTGAATTATGTGACTATAATCTAGTAGTAATCTGTTTGTATAGGTCACCTAATGGCAGTCCTGATGTTTTTCTGACGCAATTAGAGAAACTGCCAAGATATTTTATGTGCCTCAAAAAGAGAATGGTTATCTGCGGTGATCTAAATGCAGAATTTGATATTACCACTAAAAAACCGACAGCTACCCAACTGGTTAATTTGTTAAGACAGTTTGATATGTATTGTACTAATACCAGTCCTACAAGGGGAACGGCTTGCCTCGATAACATCATAACAAATATAGTACCTTCGTTCTGTAACATTAGTGTCTTAAATCCATCTCTTTCAGACCATGATGCTCTACAGTTAGAAATTGATTTGCAGCCGTGTAAGTATCACAACAACTCTACAACTGCTGGTGATCATGTTATTAAGATAAGACACATAACTCCACAGGCAAGTGACTTTTTTAAACTGGCACTGAGTGAAATAGACTGTTATAATTTGTTATACATGGATCATATAATGGAAGAATTTTCTACAGCCAATGCAACTTTTGAAATCTTTTTGAACAAATTTTTGTCAATTTTTCAAGACTGTATACCATGTACTATTAAGAAAGTAGATCATAGTGATTTCAAAAAAACTACTGGAAATTCGAAGAAATGTAGGCCTATTAACAATAAATGGTATAACACTGGCCTTAAAGATATGAAAGACGACATCATGGCATTTGCTGATCTTTACAAGGGGACGAAGAATAGTGAACTTCTTGGGATTCTGCGTAACAAGAGACAAACCTACAGGAAAGCTCTGAGGGCAGCTAAGAGAAGCTACAACGCCGCAAGGATAGAACAGGCTAACAACAAATGCAGTATGGCGTGGTCAATTGTTAATGAGGCGGCAGGCAAATCTTCAAGTGTGAACAACACGGGAAACATCTCTCCGGACATCTTTAACACCTACTTCTTGACTTCGGTGGATGAGATCTGTGCGAAAGTCAGTGGTGATCCTGAGAAAGCGTTGAAGTGTTTGGAAAAATCTGTGCGTCCTACTTCCACTTGCGTATTTTCACAGGTTTCATGTGAGCAAGTTTTGAGTGTTGTGAAATCCTTAAAAATATCTGATAGCAAAGATGTGTTTGGCCTTACCAGTAAGTTACTTTTACATAGTATCGATTCAATTCTCGTTCTATTAACCTATTGTTTTAACTTATGTATTTCTGAAGGGGTCTTTCCTGAGTCTTTAAAGTTTGCTAGAGTTGTTCCTATTTTTAAAAAGGGTAACCCCAATGTACCTGCTAGCTACCGTCCTATTTCATGCATTCCTGTCTTTGCCAAAGTTTTGGAAAAAATTGTCAAACTTCAGTTATGTGATTATTTTACTGTGTACAGCCTATTCAATGACAACCAATATGGTTACAGACATGGTAGATCCACAGTGATGGCGGTTGACAGGCTTGTCGCTGAATTGTATTTAGCTTTGGAAAGTAGGTGCCTTGCTCAAATCACATTATGTGATTTGAGTAAGGCATTTGACTGTGTCTCACATGATGTTCTTTTTAAGAAACTTGAATTCTATGGTGTTAGAGATTGTGAACTAAAATTTTTCAAGTCATATTTAACAGGCAGATCTCAGTTGGTAGATATTAGGGGAAATGTTTCTAAAGTTTCAGAGGTCAAGCATGGTGTACCGCAGGGGTCAATATTGGGGCCCATTTTATTTTTGATATTGATAAATGATGTTAGCTTTAATCTGGACTGTTTTTCTACTGTATATGCAGATGATACATCATTGGTCTCTTATCATAATAACCCTGATGTACTAAGTAATATGGTCAAAGATAGTTTTGAAAGAGCTGTGTATTGGTTTACTGTCAATGGGCTTTTTATGAATGAAGAGAAAACTAAAAACATGCTTGTGTCTATGACTAATAACAGATCAAATCAAAACCTGGAAAGTAGTGTAACACTGTTGGGAATTTCTATTGATAGTAAATTGTCATGGAAGAATCATATTGAATTAGTTTGTAAAAAATTATCAAGAGTAATATGTTTATTGTGTAAGTTAAGAAAAATGTTACCTGATGTTTATTTAAAGATGGCTTATTATGCTTTCTTTGAAAGTATATTGAGGTATGGTTTGGTTGTCTGGGGTAATGGCATTGGTATCGATGATGTCTTGATATTACAGAAAAAAGCAGTTAGACTTATAACTGGTTCATCTTTCCCGGCACATTGTAGGCCTTTGTTTGTGCAAACAGGGATTTTGACTGTGATAAATCTTTACATTTATGAAGTAATAAGGCTAGTGAGAAAAGATATTGATAAATATATGTAGGTCTAGGACTGATGTTCATGACCACTTTACTAGGTTTAGGAATAAAATTGACATATCTAGATGTAGATTGACAAGAACACAAAAGTATCATCACACTCTGGGTTTAAAGCTTTACAATAAACTGCCAAACTACGTTGTAGATATTACTAGTGATAAGGTATTCTTTGAAATTCTGTATAAATGGCTCCTAGAAAACCCAATGTACCAGATTGATGAGTTTTTAAATTCTGAAATAGTTATTTGAATATGCTGTCATCCTACATAGCTTTAAATAGAAAATAGTATTAGCTTTAAAGCCTGACACTTGTTTAGACTAATTTGACGAGATCTATTGTAAACAATGTATTTACTTAATGGTCAATAAATTTCTTATTCTTATTCTTATTCTTAAAGGACGCTAGATGTTTTTGCAACAGGTAGTACGCCGGGACTCAGTAGGTATAAGTCCAAACTCCCATACAAACTGCATGGAAATATTCGACCAATCACAGCGCTGCATCAGGCTCTAATGCAACAGATATAGGGTGTTAGTGACTCCAACGTCCAAACAGTAGTCACTATTGCCACAACAAGCGCTGGGTGTAGCGAGCGATCTCTATCTGTCAACCCAATTATTTAGAGATCAGTCAAATAGTGAATACTGTAGTGTTTTGGTTTTGTGAGGTTATGTTTATCGTGCCGCACCGCCGGTATTCAAGTTGTTAATTAATTAATATACCACTGTTTCTTTAGAAGTATAGTTCAGTGCTAATAATGAACTATGAATTCGGTGAAAAAAATATCTACGAAGTATACGATTGGTGAGGTGGTAAGTTTTGAACAGAGAGTTGAGTTAAAGCTGCTACTGCTAGGCCCACCAAAACCCGATTTAGTTATAACACGATCTCAAAAATCACGATAGAGCCAATTTCTCTTGTTTATACAGGCCAATTGATTTAACGCCCCACCACTGAATGCGTATACGGACAGTTATATATAAACCAGTTTGTATCCTAAAAAGTGTCCTAAACCAATGTATAAATAACTCGTTTTTTAACTTCTAACTAAACTCCCCGGTATTAGTAACCACGCAAAAAAATCGTATGCGCCCTCCCACTACTTTAACCCACCAGCCGCCACTGAAGGGTGGTCCATAAATAATGGATCATTTTTAAACATACAGTAGAGTTTCAAAAATCCAACCGCTCCTGAGGTTTAAAAAAAATGTCATTAGCACTGAAACAACAAATGTTTTACGATTTCACAGGCAAAACAGTCAGCTTATCGGTAATGTACCGAAAATACCTAATTACAAAAACCATTGTTTTTATTTTATTTAACTGAATCCTAGAACTGCATTTTTAATACTGTAGGTCTAATTATGTGTCCATTAGGCATTTCTAGGTTATGTTTGAAAATCCAAACAAATCGGTAATCTGAACTACCTATGGTCTTTTTTTAGGCACTACTGTATGTCTATCAGCTGTTGTAATTTTACCATTGATTTTTGAGGATCATTAGGATATAGAATCAAATGTATAAATAGCATTTCTATACTTATAAAAGTCAAATACCATTCACTGACTCACTGATCACTCTATCTCAAAAACTACTAACCAAAATAACTCAGGAATTGGTATAAAGATTCTAATCAGTCTAGAATCATCATCTAATCAGCGTAGAATTTTCATAATTGTATTAAAGAACAACAAATGTCATCCCATTCGAGTAATCATGGATCATTGGACAGTACAACATTGTGCCTTTTTTTTGCATTAATGCCAATTTTAATTATAAGTGACATTTTAATGCGCTCCAGAAGGTTTTTGCCTTCAATCACCTGATAGTCTTTGATAAAACACCAGACGTAATCTAGTCACCTTGATTGAGCTTCTGTGCAACAACAAGTTTTTACTTTTTAGGGATATAAATTCAAATCAACATGTAAAATACAATGTAAACTGGTCCTTACAACACCTAAAGCAACAGAATGTATTCTTGCCGATCTTTTGGACTTTGGAGAACAGATTCCCAAACTCTTGCAAATGTTCTCATCTGTACGTACAGACTTAGACCTTCCCGGAGGTTTATTCTTGAGAACAGGTTCCTTAGTTCTTAAATTAAACACCCACCTATAGATAGTATTCTTGGAAGGAATCACACCATGACGACGGCCGTTGAAATGATTTTGAAATAACTGCTGAGTTACAATCACAGATTCGTTATTTTTTAAATAGGCATCAATGCAAAAGGCACGGTGTTGCACTGTCCAAAGATCCATTATTACTCAAACGGCATGACAGTTGTTGTTTAATACAACAATGACAGTTCTATGCGTAACAACAGCTGATTGACTTGTGTTTAAAAATGAGCCGTTATTTATGGACCAAACCCTTTTACTTGTTATACTGTTGACGATTAAAAGTTAGTTTTGAAACATATTTGACATTTTGAAAACTACCTTATAATTTAAGTTATTCATGTGTAAGCTACTGTAGTCCAAGCAAATATGACTGAATAAAGACAATTTGAATTGAATTTAAAAATACATCATGATACATGCTTGATAGAAATATCAAGTACCGGTACATCCTGATGTGACACAATTAATTTCAGATCAGTGATAAGCTTACCTGAAGCAGATACTTGACTGTATGTCTGTGGGAAGGTTTAATGGTTCCAGCGACCAACTTTCTTTTTCTCTTCCTAGCTCAGTCTTTAAAGTGTCTTCAGTGTTTAAATTGCCACTGTCAAGTTCTTCTTTAATCAATTCTGATTGCGGTCCTTGGTCAAAATGTTTGTTGTCCAATTCATGAAAGCCAGAAGAGTCACATTTTCTTACTACGCAATCAGAATTGTCCTGTTGTTTGCATGCAACCTCTTCGTTGTTGGTCACATTTGTCGTTTTGTAACGACTGTTATTCATTAAGTCTCTCACTTCTGTCGTTGTTGCATCAAAACTTGACTCACAAAGATCTATCACTTCGTGACGCAATAGATTTTCAGACATATTACATTTGAATGAACTATTTATTAGCAAACTAAACCCCTGTTTGTTTTGTTGTGTAGACAATGCACTTTCAGTGTGGATGTGAGCTGTAGAGTCTATATGATGTTGAGCTTCTGGTGTTTCATTATGATCTAAGCATGTATCAGTTTCATTTTGTGCAGACACTGTGTCCATTAGAAATGAAGGTACAGTGATATTGTTCAGAATCTCATATTCGGTAGAGCGTTCCTCTCTTGACATACATAACTGTTTGACAGGACTTTCTTCTGTGTCATTTTCAGGTTCTAATGCAGCCTCAAAACTTCTCTTTCCTCCTTAAAACAATAAAACAAATGTCAAGAACATTTTAAATTCATTTCTATATATTTAGTTTTATAGTTAAACTAGCTTACACCGTTGTGGCTTTGCTCACAAAAATGTTAATTAATATATGTGACCACTTAAGTTAATTAAAATATGAGAGAAACATATATTTGTCTTTATTAACAACATTAACTGTCCTTCTACCAGGAGCTTTGGACTGATCACTCTGAAACCTCCTTTATCAGTGTGATGCCAAATATTATTTTGGCCAGAAAACATAGGTTTACTGGTTTACATGCTTAAAAAACCTTACTTTCCAATAGTACTGTCAGAACTCTCATAACTTTTTTGGGGGTTATGTGTTATCTTAAAGTAACAGTGACATAAAACCTTGCCCCATGTTTTATTGTGGTTCTTATAACCCTCAAAGTGCCTAATCAGTTACAGGTCTACAGTGTTTATGATGTTTTAACCAAGCAGAAGTGTCTTTCCTCATATTTGGCTTCATAGTGTGCATTTCTTTACAAACAAAAAAAAACATAAAAAGCTAGTAGTTTTTACATAATCTGCTTAAAACGTGAACTGGGATTGTAGAGCAACGTACTCATCTGAAATTGCATGATAGTGCAATTTTTATTAGCCTAGGAATGGAAGTTATTTAACTTATCAAGCACTTATGATATTCTCGCAGATTTCTATACAACCGCTTGACGGATTTTGATGATTCTTTTTTTTATTTGAAGGTCATTTTGTGTAGAAGGTCGTGACAGAGCCAGAATTTTGATTTAGACCTCAGGGCTCTGACCACCGTACTTCCAAGTTCCCATGTTGTTCATATTGAGATTTTATTATTTTTTATTTATGGTTTATCAATCTAAAGGGTTGTGTGCTTGGCTAATATGGTTTTTACTACTTCTATTTGACACTACACAGCTTATTTGTGTGCGTTATTTGTGTAATTTTCTATTTTCTTCTTTCTTTTAGAAATATGCATCTTGCATTTTTAAGTTGAACAAAGTACCTACACCTTTTTGGTGGCCTTTGGACGTCTCTCCATATGGAAAAAGGTTCATGACCTCTTTATGCAATTTGAAGGCATTTGATCTATGGAAGGTATCTCAATGATTGCATCAAGTACGTCAGTACACAGATTAATCAAAGTTTTTACAGCTGTATTTATAATTTATTAAACAAAAAAATGCCTGAGCGAAGAGCGGGCCAAACAGCTAGTAAAATTTAAAAAATATTCATCTGTTCAGATGTAAACAAATCTTTCCTCCGTAAGGATAAAATGGGAACTTTAAAGGCCACTGGGGCTGAGCCCTGATTGAATTTCTTGAAAACGCTTCTTATTGCACACCTAGAGACTGATTAGAATCTTTATACCAATTCCTGAGTTATTTTGGTTAGTAGTTTTTGAGATAGAGTGATCAGTGAGTCAGTGAATGGTATTTGACTTTTATAAGTATAGAAATGCTATTTATACATTTGATTCTATATCCTAATGATCCTCAAAAAATCAATGGTAAAATTATCCACTAATTATAGCTTTACACATGATACAGTAATTAAGAGTCAAGTGAACTGCCACAAGAGTGTTAAGTTTTTTTTATATCACTGTAATCCTACCAGTTTTAAAATTTTCTTTTTCATCATAATGCAGCAAAAAAACACCATTATTTTGAATACGTGATGCGGGGGGAAGTAGCAATTTTTCTTCCTAGGGAGTAAAAATCAGCTCCTGTAATGTAAACTTCAATTGTACGCGATCGCATATATCAAAAGTATGTATCAATCCATTGTTGCATTCTTTTCAATATAGTTTGACATATAATATACACTAACCAGGGTTGCCACCATAGTGGGATGACAAAATTCATGCAGAATTCATGGTTTTCATTGGTAGTTTGAAAAAATTCATAGTCAATGTGCTCATATAGGTTGCGGCAAAAAAAAACCCCAATCTATTTTATGTAGCACACTGTTCAGCAACATGTCGTCTGAGATTGGTGGGGTTAGGCTAGTTGGAAAGCCTACACCATAGATGAAGTTATGCCATTATCTGTGGTCATAGAGCAGTGGTCACCTGAGCATTGTGCGTTTGTTATCGAGTCAAATTTAAAAAGTAATGATTCAGTCATTACAACTCAGCGGCAGTTCGGTGCATTTTTTTAAAATTACGGTGACGTCGATTCCGTCAAGTGGCACAATCATGTGGTGGACAATCAACTTTAGAACAATGGCTTCTGCGTTCAAAAAGAAGCTGACAAGTCGTCCAAAGTCAGATCAGACGTCAGACAACTAACATTCGATAGAGTCCGTGCTGCTGTGGAAAACAGTCCTCGTATGCCCGCTTGAAAACAAACATCTGCTTTAAACATGTCTGACCGCTCGGTTACACTAATTTTGAGGTTCGATCTTAATTCTTATCCCTACAGATTAATGTGTATTAATCTGTTCAATTTTGTTGATTAACCATACAGACAATCTCACCGAAACCTCTTCATGTCGGACCTTATTCAAAGAATGCATGGAAATGCCGCTGAGTTGCAATGACTGAATCATTACTTTTTTAAACGGCTCGATAACAAACACGTGTTGCTCAGGTAACCACTGCTCTATGAATACAGATAATGGCATCGTATAGGCTTTCCAACGAGCCTAACCCCACCATCCTCAGACGACCTGTCGATGAACAGTGTGCTGCGAAAAATAGATTTTTTTCTCGCACCCTGTATAATTTCAACACAATTGAGTTTTGCTGATTTCAGAAATTGATTTTTTTGTGTGTTACTATTGAATTAAACTTTTATACATGAAATCCAACTATTTCATAGTGATTTATAAATATACATTCAAAACCAAGTTGAAAACAAAACAGGTCCAGCTTTTATAAATGACAAATTGGAGAAGAATCGTAAAATATATTAAGTGTAGGTCTAATTCAGTCTTGCCACTGGAATAAAACAAAAATCTCGCTCACCCAGCCAAAAAGATCTGTTTTACCCCCCCCCCCATATGAATGTCATGAAATATCCTGTATTCTGGTTTGTCTTATTACACAATGTACTTATTGGTTTTATCACAGACTATAGACACAATTAATGGTCTATTGTCTGTGGTTTTAACCAAAAGGCTAAAAACATCAGGCGTGAGAGCCGGAAATTAAGTTTTATTGTTAGCTTGTTTTATTGTTTTATTATGTGGCCCGTTTCAATTCTGTGAATGGTCTAAGGCTTCTGTTTTTGTGGTTTAAGTCCCCTTGCCCCTTTAACCATACGCGGGGGTAGGCCACCTAATGATTTTTCATACAGTCCTTGGGAAGACTCAGCTGACATCAGCATCTAACCTAAAATGAATTGGAATGAACTAAGCAATTGTTTCTGAACGTGGAAAATTTTAAATAATTATCACCATATGGTATTCTCTCTTACTGTTTGTCTTCTTGAACTGTTTTTAAATATGAAATATTTTATATGTGGCAAATTTAATGGTACTGGTAGAATTTTTCCTGATTTTGAAAATTCATGGTCCAATGGAGAAATTCATGCATAATCCATGCCTTTTTTCATGGTCACAGGAATTCATGCATAATTCAAGCTTTTCAAGGTTTTCATGGCTGGTGGCAACCCTGCTAACACAATCATAATAGACAAACAAAATGATTGAACTTGAAATTTATCGTGGATCATTTTTAAATATTAGGCTACATATTTTCCACAAGTCACTTGATAAAAAAAAATCAATTTTTCAACTTCTACCTGAACATTACCAACTGAATAATGTGGACGGCCAAATGCAAGGTTAAAAGAGGAAGCCAACCTCTTTAAAAATCAGAACATTGATTTGATCTGAAATATAAATATCCATCCAGGAGCCTACTTATGAATATTATTTCAAATATCAAGGCATAGCCTAGTTATAAAAAGATAAACAAATATTTTTTAGGATTTTGTGGTAGAAAGGTTTAACAGTAGACTAAACCTTGCTGACGGAAATATATGAAAAAGCACAAATAAACACAAAGAATATTTTGAACTAGCTCCGAAAATTCTATGTGTTTATTTCTTGTGCATTTCAGTTCCGCATTTAGGGTTCTTACGGCCCTACACCCTTAGATGAAGCTTACTAAGAGTGATTTCAGAGCTAGGAAGTAGACATATTCAAGCTTCAGATTTTTGATCGTGCTAAATATTTAATATATCATGAACTTTTATGTAATTTGACATAACATAATCTGTCAAATATCTTCCATTTAAAATTCAAATTAACGTTATGATGGAGAGTTAAATATTATTTTTAAGTAAATGATAAAAGGATGATGAAACAAGGTACTTAATTCAAAATTAAGGACTTTTAATTTTCTTCAAAAGGCATTACTTAAAAAAAAAGTTAGGGTTGTTAAAGACTTAATATATCTCCACGGTCAAAACTTATTTGTGAACGCAGCAAAATATTGAGCATATCCCATTCTTCCGCGGTTGATGGGACATCATATTCTCCCGCAATCACATCAAAATGCTCATCACAGTATTAGAAACCTTATCATTGTCTTCTGGGATCACAGCAAAGTAGGTCTACTGCTTATCTACAAGCAAACAATACTGCTTCAAGTAGAATACTGACAATGAGATACCATCATTGCCTCCCACAAATCCCGATTACTTAACCACGGGCTCAGAAACATTATCATTGTCTTCCACAATCACAACATAAAACTGAACATTTTCTGCGGTCACGGAGACATCATTATCATCTCTCACGATTCTGGCAATATATTGAACATAGTCTTATGCGATGATTACTAAAAAGTTATCGTCGTCTCCTGCGATCACAATAATATTGCATCACTAAAAGCTCGGCGCAAAAATCAAGCCGCGTGCACAATTCCTACTATGAAATAGTTTTTTGTACGAAGCGGTGCAGCCCTCTATCCGGGCCATGGTGCATTTTCATCTATTTCTGCAGTAAGGTAAGCTACCTGTAAAACCTATCTATCACAATATCCTTTAAATCCCTGACCTAAAAACCATCTTTGCCTAAAAATGTTAAAAACAAATATTGTCATACTTACTACATCCACTAACTGCTTCTGGGTGTTGAGAGACTACTCCATGACTAATATTGCTTTCTGACTGATTTAAAATCTTACAATTTGAATTACTTTTAAGTTCAATTGAAGTATCCTTACAACTGATCTCTAGAGACGTGTTAGATGTAATAACTGAACTTTTACTACTTCCACGTGTCATTGTTATATTTTTATTACAAAAAACACTTCTGTTGGACAAATTCAAGGATGAATTTGGTGACATTTTGGAGTCAGCGGATTGATCTTTATGAATAGTACTTATTTTCTGGCTATCTTCCTCATCAAGGTTTGATAAAGGAAAAGAAAATGGTGGTTCAATAATGACATCGATACCTTTTACTTGTTCGTTACAGTTTTCAAATTCCTGAACTTGATCCACAGAGGTATTTCCTAGTGACATATTCATGACAGACTCATTCAAACAACAACTTCCTTCAGTCATAGTTTCAGGTATTGTTTCACCATCTAAACACGAATGTTCAACTTCATTTGCTTTTATTTCTATGATGTCAGTGCTGTTTGTAATAGAAGTATTTAGAGCATCGTCAATTATCATAGTTTCATTGCTAATAGGGTCTTTATTGTTAGACTCATTCTCAAAAATTAAATCCTTTTGGTAAGTAGCACATGAACGGGTTTTTTGCTCTGAGGTGCCACCTTCTATATTAGAATAATGATTAGAACCACTCATGATAATTATTATGTTTTCTTGTTCACATTCTTTTTTCAAATAACTTGAAGATTTATCATCCTCACTATAGCAGTTATCAACATTCAATAAACATAGTTTATTTTCATTTAGTTCAGTTTCACTGTCTGTGAAGGTTTTCTCTACCATTTTTAAAAGATTCTTTTCATGCTTAGAAGAATCAAGGATTTCCTTAAGATTTTCTTCTCGATCTACAGTTTTTGCTGAGGGATATACTTTTTCAACTAATGACACATTTAACTCAGATCCTAGTAGATCCTTTTTTAACTGGCCTTCAGAATTTGAGGAACTTTTGTTACTAGAATCATTTAATTTTGTGGTTTGGTGGGAATGCTTTGTTACGTGGATAGTATTATGGGGGTTATTTTGTTCATTCTCATTGACTACTGGAACATCTGTAGTAGTTGTGGTTGAAGATTGAGAAGTAGAGGTGGAGCAAAACCTTGTATCACTCAATTTCTCATCAACATTTTTAAGATCTTCACCGGACAAAAACGACGAACAGGTATCATCAGCTTTAAAACTCGGAGTGGGTATTAAATCTTCTTCATTAAATTCGGGGGCATTGTGTATGGGTTTAGTCAGGTTCATAAGATTTGTTGAATCAACAGAATACTCCAGTTTTATACTATCACTAGTTTGATGATCCATACGATTGGATATTTCGGGAAAACCTTGGTCCACACTCTCAGCCAAATCCATTTCACACACTGAATTTTTTGTCAACCCTGATTTTATTTGAGGGTCCCCAATAGTTTGTGTGAGTTCCAAAGCATCAGAGCTATTGTCTACGATTTCAGTTAAATCCATGTTTACCAAGGAATATCTAGAAGATTTCCTACGATTAGTTGACATGCCTGAAGCTACAGCACTGGTCATATCCATGTTATTAACTGAATATCGTGTGTTATTTACAGAGTATAGAACATTTTCTGTTAAACCGACATCAATACTTTTATACTTAGGAGATACAGCAGAAAACTGTGCACCTTCAACAGCCTCTGTTAGCTCCAATTCTTCTGAACCATTCAGAGATGCATTCACAGAGTGTTCATCTTTAGAAGGCTGCTCACTGAATGTAAATGGTCGGGCTGCTTCAGTCAGTTCCATTTCATTACATGAAAATCTTATTGTGCTCATAGGATTACCAATAACATTAGTAAAGTCCATTGCAACAGAAAATCTTGCAGATCTCCGATTGGGAAGTGTCTGATGAAGATTAGCTGCTTCAGTCAAATCCATTCCATTAATTGAATATCTACCAATCATGTCCATACCCGTAGAATGGCCATTTGTTTGATCAAGTACACGATGAGACCGGGCCATTTCAGATGAATCCATATCCCCAACTGAATATTTTGTATTTTGGTTGGAATATCCGGTAGCTACATTTGTTAAGTCCATTCCTAGAGAAAATCTTGTTTGTTGGTCAAAGTTTGCAGATCTGCATGAATTGGCAACCTCTGTTAGATCCATTTCGTTAACAGAGAACCTAGTTCTACAAGCTGGGTTCTCAACTAATCTGGTCAAATCCATTTCTGTGGACATTCTCAAAGTTGGAATGGACATGTTTTCTTTTTCTACCGATGACTGTACTTTGCCAGGCGTCCACCCATCAACTCTGTAACAACAAAAACACTGATATCATCATGAATATCTCCTAAAATAACCTGTATTGAAACATGTTACTGGGGCTTTTGAAAACTATCTATTGAAAAGAAAAACCTGTCTATTGATGATAGCAAGCATACCTGAATAGAAAAGAGTCCAAACTGGCACTATATATTAGGGTGGGTCGAAATAAATCAATATTTTTTTTTAGTTGTAATACCTTGGAAAAGTTGCTAAATTGTAAGACCAAAACAGGGTAAAAAAAATATAAAAATATTGGTTGTTATCTTAAAGTTTGAACAAAAAATGAAAAACTCATATTTTTCAGAAATTTTTACGATTTTAATTTTTTTTATTTTTAACATGTAATAGTTTAAAATACCATCTACAAGACAATAAGAAATTTATATTTAAATAATAGTATTGTATGTTAATATCTTAGGGTAGCGCATCGGCTGCAAATATTGCCAAAAATCAAGAAAAACGTCATTTTGTAACAGTCTTATTTAAAATATAATAATCAATATCAAAATGTAATATCGAAAATCTGTTTGTACACATTCAGATAGTAACCTAACAAAAACAACAGACAGAATTGATCTTTCGGTCGCGAATAGCAATACAAATTCACTTTAGCGCGGCACTTTCGGGTCAGTGACCTGGGCGACACTATGTGATTCCGAAGTTTAAGATTCCAAAATTGGAGATGATAATGTATTCCTGTGCTCACAAACTAAAATTTACAATTCTAGTGACAGCAACCAAGGATCATTACCTAAACTTCCAAAAAAAAGACCCATGGTAAGCAAATGAGGATGAACCTTAACTCTACTGTTTTGGTTAGCGACCGTTCCGATTGTGCTACAACTGCAATAGCCTCTATTGTTTTGCACGAAGTTGGGATAGTCACTTTTTCTGACAATTTGCAATTAAGATAATTGTTAAATAAGGCGATGGCGAGCCATTAAGCAATTGAAGTATCTGTTCACGGACCGTGTAAAGGTTATAATCGACTCTGACCTTGGAATATTCTACCCGAGTTTTATAACCAATGTTAATGCTACCTTGAATGGTTGTGTTAATTTTTTTAGTCATTATAGTGTGTTTACTTATTTTTAAATGCTCATTGGTTTGAATCATTTTACGCCTGGATAAAGCATTTTCTGACTCTTGTCCCCCTAGATTTGTTACTTAGACTATTTACTTTTAAGCCATAGCTAACTGTTGTTTTAGGGGTTTGTACCTTTATTTAACGCCTAATAATTATGTAGGTGTTCATTTATGTCATGATTTACATTTTGACTTGGTCTGAATTTTACCGATTTGGGCACAGTTTCTAATTTTATTTTCTAGCTATCAATGATTATATTTAGAAAACACCGTACTTTGTAAGGCATTATTTGAACTGAAACGCGTTTATATCTAATAATGTATTGTAATTTACATACTTGACAGGAAATTGTTATTTTAATTAATACATTAATATAATGTTTATTCTTAATAGCCTATAATCGCAGAGAGGCACAGTTTTTTTTTTTTTAAACATCGTCTATGTAAAGTTTTGTAAGGATCTAAGTAAAAACTTTGAATACCGTGAGAAGAATTCTCACAAATGAAGTTTATGTTTTGATGTTTTTTGTATTCATCCTTAGGACTATGCCAACGTCTTGCAAAACACCAGAGGCTAATTGCAGTTGTAGCACGATTGAAAAAACCATAATGATCACTAAACAATGCATTAGGCGTAGAGTAAATCCTCATTTGCCTACCATAGGTCTTTTTAGCGAATTTCCCTATAGGGAAGTAGCTATTACCGTAGGTGGCACGGTAAGACCTAGACCCGGGACCGATTTACTTTTTCATTTTGATGTCCCCAGAGGCCCTCAATAGTACAATTACATCATGCAAAACACTTACAAAAGCTGAAAAACAAAGATTGAAAACTATTAACCCTACAGCACCTAATTTAAGAGGTCAACCCAAAATGCACAAACCAAACAACCCAATAAGGCCAATCGTAAATTACCAAAACGCTCCAGGATATAAAATTTGTAAGTATCTTAACAAACAAATTCATGAATGTTTAACAAATACAACCAATTATAATGTGAAAAATTCTGAAGACCTTATAACAAAAATCAAAGATATCAAAATACCAACAGATACTATTTTTGTATCATTTGACATAACTAACATGTACACTAACATTCCAGTACAAGATACAATCAAAATTCTTAAAAATAATTTAAACCAAAATCAATTGATTACAAATCACAAAATTGATGACATAATTAAATTAACGAAAAACGTAACTAATCAAAATTATTTTCAGTATGATACTAAATTGTACAAACAATGTGATGGTCTAGCGATGGGATCACCACTTTCTGGCCTATTAGCTGACATATATTTGAATGACTTAGAAGAGAATAAGATGAACAAAAATAACCCTCACAAATAAAACATAATATATTGGCATAGATATGTAGATGACATATTATGTCTATTCAAAGGAAATGAAAAATCGTGCAATGACTTTTTATCCTATTTAAACAGAATATCTAAAAAAATAAAATTCACAATGGAAATACAAAAAGATGAAATAAATTTTCTTGACTTAACAATTGGAAAAAACAATAACAAACATTATTTTAAAATTTATAGAAAAGCCACTCAAACAGATCAGATTTTGTTATTCCTGCTGACTCAAATGCACCATGGCAACATAAAATGGCAAGCTTCAACTCTATGGTACACAGAATGTTACGAGTACCTTTAAATGAAAATAATTACAATTTGGAAAAATACATTATAAAAGACATAGCTTCAAGAAATGGATACAAAGATAGTTTAATAGATAAATTAATCAAGAAAATGAAAAATAAGAAAACCCAAAATTTAGAAAAAGAAGAGAAGAAGGAGTTTATTTGTCTTCCGTACAGTTCGATATTAAACAAACCAATCAGAAAAACATTTAAAAAAATCCAGATTCAAAATTAGCTATAGATCTAGAAACAACGCATTCAATTTAATTAATAAACTATCAAACAAGAACCCACATACAATTGACAAATATAACAAATCTGGAATATACAAGATTAAATGTCTAAATTGTCCCAAATTCTACATTGGTCAGACTGGAAGAGCATTTTCATGCAGATTCAAAGAACACATCCAAGCCGTAAAATCAAACAATCAAACATCTCAACGATCAATGTATGCAGAACATATATTAGAAAATAATCATAATTATGGCAAATTAGAAGAAGATTGTGTCAAAATTCTAAATTTTGAGAAAAAGGGAGAAAAATGGATATAAAAGAAGAATTACAAATATACCTACATTCAAAAGAACACGGAGATCAAATTCTCAATATAATGCAAAAACAAAAACAAAATCCAATTCATGAAAAAATGTGACAAATCAGAGAAGAATCTTACAGATCTACATGTTAAAAAATATACCTAACCATTTAATCAAAATTTTACTATGAATTAAAAACATATGTTATTAACTATTTATTTATTTTAATTGTTTACATACTTTCATAACACTCATACTGTGATCATGGCCTTAGTGCCGAAATACGTATCAGTTTAAATGAAAAATGAATTTCAGGGTACTCTGGTTTTTATTATTTTGCTTATTAATATATAGACTTATATATATATATATATATATACACGTCCGTGAACGCGATAACTTGAGTAATTTTTGTCCGATTTTGATGAAATTTGGTTTAAAGGTGTAAAGCGGGATAAACTTGAATGAGTTCGCGAACCAGCACGATTGGACCATGGGAACGGGGCTTTACGGGGGGTTTTATGGGGTAAAAATTGGTTTTTCTCACTTTTGACCCTCAAAACACAAAATTTCCCAATTTCTCATAAGACCTTTTTAAAGAGCTTAACCCTCCGAGTGTCACTCGTCGAAAAATCGACGCGCGACACACGCGTCGATTTTTCGACGCGCGAACATCGTTTACGGCGAAGGCTCTATGACTGACTGAATCGGATTGAACTGGATCGAGTTAGGTATCGTTCTTCTCGTTATATTCTAAGCTTTCTCCAGAGGTCTGTCTCAGCGCTGTATGTTCTCCGAGCCGATCGTAATTGTAGCAGACAGCTGACGTGCGTATTTGTAAATAGCTAGGTTACCCTCGGACCGATGACTGATGTGTTTTATTACGTTTATCATTGTTTTAGTGTTAAAAATCAAAAGTAGTGATATACGTGGTGCATTATAAGAAGATTTAAGTGATTTTGAAGGGCTGGTTGATAATCCTGAAGAAGTAGGTAGTGATATTGATGTAAATTATCAGCCAGATTCCTAGCTATGGTTAGGCTATGCATTCTTAGCTAAACGCTATGTACTGAAATCTGTTTTTTGCCCATAACTTATTTATTTGCAAATCTACTTCCTTATATTATTATATATTTGTAATCCTTATAAAATTTAGAACAAAGTGGCTATTTTCAAATATTTATAGGCCTATAATTTATCCAATTTCATTGAGCGCGAACTTATTTTATTTTTTTTTCCCAATTTTTTTTTTACCTAAAAAATTTTTTTGAAACAAATGTTCCTTATGTTATATGTATAATATTGAAGCCCATGATTTTCCAAACAAAATGACCTATTAAAACTATCAAACATAATACCAGTCTTTAAAAAGGGTGACCCAAAAGATATATCCAACTACAGACCTATTTCTTTATTGCCTAGTTTCTCAAAAATATTTGAGAAAGTCGTCTTCAATAGATTGTGTGATCATTTTGAAACATCCCAAATTTTGGATACATGTCAGTTTGGATTCCGGAAGGGACGGAGTACGACAGATGCAATCTTTAGCTTTATGGGGGAGACCCTTATAGAGAGTGGGGGAAGACCCCTGTTGGAGCAGTACATGTGTGTGTCTTTCTGTTGAATAATTGTGCTTTATCAGTGGTTTTAGCAATTTTCTAAAGTTATAATTGATACCAAAGTGTGAAGTAAGTTTTGCTTTTCAA